GTATAATTACACAAAACAGCAATGGCTGATTGCTTTTTGCAGTGTTTCATTTAGAATAAAAAATAATAACATTGAAATACAATGTTATACACCATACCAATACGCCACTATGTGCAAAGATAGATACCTCATCAGGTCCGCATATATTAATATGAAATTTTACACTGAGAGTTGTTGAAATCACGTTGCCATGACAGTATAATAGTGGCATAATAATTAATGTTATCGTATAAAACGGTTATTTTAGTCATGAATTTCAAACAAGACGGAACATCGAAAATTACATTGCCAATGCGACTCAACTTTTATTAACGTGACCACAGATGTAGGGTCACTACTAGCTTGTGTATCCATATGCAATTGGTTTGATAAAAGCCCTTCTGAATCCAATACCTATTTGCGTTTTATATTACCAATACATTATGTGTTACTTAATGCTGGTATCTTCCATTGGATTGATCGATTATGCATCTTGTTTCATCCGCTGTAGATATATCAAATGCGTTTCATCATGGGCTCTCGATAAAATAAATGCTGTGTCATTAAGTGTTTTCCTTGTTAAACGGCTGAGTAGATAATACGCATTTCCACAACTAATAATATTTTGTATAGAATATCGATAACTACTGCACCATAAGACTATACCTTTTATTTTAAATGTATTATTGGTTGCTATGCTGTAAAGCAATAAGAACCTTTGCAATTGTCCGTGCTTGTGCGTCCTTACGTTTGTGACGTTGACGTCATCAAATTCGTCGAAAGTTTGTAAACAAGCAAACTTGAATTTTTAAACACATGTTGGTTATGAATTTGTATTATTCGATATTATAATTGTGACTTATTGCTTGAAAACATTCTTAGGAAAATATAAAAACTATTATGAGAATTTTATTACCGCCTACACCCAAGACTGAATAAATCTAGCGTTATATGGTACAGTGGATTATTGAATGTCTATTTGATAGAAACCAGATCTGACCATAACATTTCTACCTGAATTAAGAATTTTTTTAAAATATATTTGAGTTCAAATAGCTTACCAAAATGGGTGCCTAGGAACCTTGCAGAGATCTGGTCAGCAAATATCATTGCCATGTTAAACAAATTCAAATACTGTATTCTATAGTTTTATAGTTAATTGTTATCAATAAATATACAATCGTTTAGAAATTGTCGATAGTTTTCAATTTTAAGCTAAAATTTCACTTTCTAACTTTAACATTGCTGGATAGACTTCTTTTAAGGAATACAAACAAATCAATAAAGCCAAAAGGCTCCATAAATTTACACAAATGAACTATAAATTTTAAATGTTAGCTATCTCTATGTACAAAAAAAAGAGAAATTATGTTTTCTTGAAGTTAATTGAATTTAATGTTCTTGAAACATAACATAAGTAATCACTCTGTAAAGGTGGAAGAAGGTTGTGAATTAAGGTCAACTCAGACAGCGTCGGCCGACGCAGCCCGACCCGATTTATACTCGGGGACAGTCTTTAAGCCGTCGTGAGAAATATTAAACATGTTTAATATTCTACGACGCGACTGCCCCCGACGCACACTATCGCCTCTGCGTTTAACTCACACAGACCCGACGCGACGACAAATCGCGTCGGGCTGCGTCGTACGACGCTGTCTGAGTTGGCCTTAACTCTACAGAGTAGCATAAATTCTGAGTGATTTTCAAATATTGTTAAACTTTCGTATTTAGAATGCACGTAAATAGGACGAATCTTTGTCAACGTCTCACTAATAAGATCAACTATTTTTACAATAACCACATAATCTATATAGACCTACTTGAGTAGCCTTATAAAATTTAGTCATACGCAGAAAAGTGCCTATTCATTACTCCTTGCAAACATAAGCTGCGTCGTGGCCACTCAACTGTATACGTTTGCGTTGATACGCGTCTAACTTCAAGTGGTGGTTCACACTGAAATCTGAGTACTGAGTGTCTTTTATTTACGTCAAAATGCATGTAAATTGCACGTGTAAACCAAGCTTTAAATTGATTCTAGGTTTTAAAAAGATACCAATGTGGCGTTTCAAAGTTGAGGGCTATAAGGCACGTATATCCTGATGTTTATAGGCATTTTTGTTTGTATGTCTACTTTTGTACTGTTTTGCGATTTCCTGTGGTGGGCCGCACATGTATTGTAAAATTAATGAAAAGTAAATATCAGTTATTGGTTATTTATATGCATGCATTATTTTTTTAATAGACACATGGTTTGCGTGTGTATAATGCATATGAGTATATATGTTTTCTTTATTATTAACAGTAGTAACATAAATGAAGTGTAGATAAGAAGAAAAAAACGACTACGAAATTTAAGAATTCTGACAAATATATGTTCATTCGTTTGTGTGAAATAGAAATCTACATAAAACCATCGGCACGGCAACGTCTTAAAGTCAACCAATTGGAGAATCATTCATGTCCCGAAGGCCAACAATGCCAGTCGGAGACTTGAAAAAGATGCATCCTATGCGTGACTACCGGTACGTGATAAATATCACTTGAACATAACATGATAAAATACTGCCATCAAAAAAAGTAATTGATAGTAAGATGAGTTATTTCATGGTGATTACCAATACAATTTATATACTTAGATATCATAGAGCAAAGAAACAGTTTCTTTGCTTTATGGATATTATGTCAAAAGTATAGCAAATATTATATCGTCACTCTCTTTTTTAGTATAAACAGCAATCTATTTTCACTAAAGCTCCGTACCCTGTAGGCCTACATACTACAATTTTAATGTTACAGATAAATGCTATTGGCCCATATTATGGTGTGGTGACATTATGATGCCCATATATTTAGGCAAATGATACATATTTGTCATCACAGAAAACTTAAGTGTATGAACAGACATTAAAACTATGTCCACACTATAACATGTTATTTGACAAATAACCGTAATTTTGCCCAAATTTGGGTGTAGAAAAATATCATCATGCCCGTATATGGGCACGTCACTTGGCACGTAAACTTTTATAGTGTGGACAGTGCTTAAGACAACATTATCAAAAACATGTTTGTACAGGATACAATAGGCAGTTTTCGCCGCACGACGTCAACCTTAACGTTAACGGATGACGTCATAATTTATTCATCTTGCGTTGCGGAGTACGTTAATGGGGAGTTTTCGATGCACGACGTTAACCTTAACTTTGACGTTAGTACCCAACATGCAACGCGATAACTCCGCCCCTTTTGTACGTACGTCGAGCACGTACAATACTAAAATTAGGTAGTTTTCGCTGCACGACGTTAACGTTAACGGATGACGTCATAATTTATTCCTCTTGCGTTGCGGAGTACGTTAATTTCAGGATTTTACGTGCTCGACGTACGTTAGTTACGAGTTTGCGCATGCGTATTTCGATTTGTTTACAAAAAGGGGCGGAGCTATCGCGCCGCATGTTGGTACTAATGTTGAAGTTAAGGTTAACGTCGTGCGGCGAAAACTACCTATTAATAAGGTGATACCGGTAGTCTCCATTTTACTCTTTCTCGTTCACCGAGCATAGTGTAGGCCTACATGTTGGCATAGGCCTAACATCTTATCTTATGAAATGAAATTCGAAGGGCACAGGAAAAATTTTGCGTTGGAAGATTTAGAATCAATAAACATGTCCGATTCCTTACACAATACATGAGCAGGGTCACCATTCAAGTGTGAACAGGACACAATTAGATCAGGATAAGAGAAACAATAAAAAATTGAAAAGCAGAATTTGACAACCGGAACACGATAAGTATTAGAAGGAAGGAATACTACAAACAAAAAACAGCAGCAAGAAAACAATCACAGCCGACAATACGGTAACTTCCAACGATCATCAGGACGCAGCGCATGGTGTAAGTAGTTGTTCAAAACTTATTTCTCTCAAAATCTAAGATATTTGTAAAGCTGCATTCATATCGGATCCAGACCGAAATTTGGACCACGTTACCGAACCGCTGAACCTCATCGTCCCTATTCTTACACACTGATTTGATTATCGGTTAGGTAGGATTTCCGATCAGATAATTAGTCAGTGTGAATGCCCCTTATTTTTTCCGATTAACAAAAATAATGTAAGTGGCATGTTTATTCAATTTGACTGATTATGTGTTATCGATAGATTGTACCTGTATATTTCCAATTAACTTTAATAAACAGCAGCGCATTATTATTAGCAGGATACAGCACTCCCTTGGAAATGTGTCAATATGGGTATTTATATTATAATTGTAATAAATAATGAAGTAGGCCTATATCGAATACGTTGTTTACTATTATAGCATAACCAGGTTTTGGCACGGTTACAGCTTTTTGACTATAATTTTCCAACACGAAAGAAACATGAGCAGCCCTAAAAAATAAGCTTACGTCGTTGATCGTGAAATTTTCCGTTACAGTAAGCTCCATCACATTCACGGGTTGGTGCTAACATAGATTCATAAGTTTAGTAGTCATGTGTGAATTTTAATTTGCAGCTTGAACTACTCTAGACTTGTTTCACTCCTAGTGCCTGTACAGCAGACGCAATGCAGCAAGAACGGACCGTTTTCCTAAGCCCCGCCCCTTAGGTATTATTTGTTAAGATCCCACAAAACGACAGTGTAAAAAATACGCTAACAAACCATCGTAGCAATGCTTACATAATACAACCAAAAGATATACGTAAGTACGTCTATGCGCTTCTCTTAATTATTCTGCTAATTAAAATATGTAGGCCTACGTGTTATGTTATATAATCTGCTTGGCTGCCATCAGATTAATCTCTTACTCATGGTTAATGGGATCAATGATGTCAATAAATTACGCATGGTTAACGTCACATGTATAGATATGGTAATTGAATGTGGGATACTGAAATGTTATATAAGATATAATTGTTGTTTATCCGTGTTTGGTAATTGTTATGCGAGAAAATCACAAAAAAAAAAAAAGGAAAAAAAAAGAGAACTACTGCTGTTCCCGCACTTGCAGAAAGTGTGAATAGAATTGCTTGCAATGGGCCTTTCCGGGGTATCACAGGTAGACTTGTGTACCATAAACGCACGCGTTTACGTACGTTTACGCTATCTTTTTGTTTTACCTTAGCAACAGTATCCAAGGTGCGGGGCTTAGCGGAAAGGTTCATTAATCGGTTTCGAATTTAGCCAGTCTAGTAAAATTTCTAAAGAGAGATTTAGAAGCACACGTCATTACAAATACTAAAACCATGGACTAAAACAATACATCCTGCCTTAAACAGGATAAAATGGACACAAATCCTTGAAAATACAACACGTTTCAGTTGTCACTGCAACCTT